CCCGTGTGGCAAAATAAGCAGTGTCAATTGTTAAGATCCAGGCTCTGGGTGGGGTCAGAGGGAAGAGGGTTTCAGTTTTAGCAGAGGCATGCTTATTGACATGAACAAAGAGACAGTAGAGCAGCATGTTAGGAGTTAGGGCTCTGAAGCATCAGACCCCTGTGACTGTCTCCAGCTTCACAGTCAACAAGTTTCTTAACCCCTTGGTCTGCTAATTTCTGAAGTGAGAACAATATGTACTATAACAATAGCACTGTATATACAAACTACTACAATAATTATATGTTAATATACTATAATAAAACTGTAAGGATAGTACGTGTCTCACAGAATTGTTTTTAGTTTAAATGACATAATGCATGTAGTGAGAACAGTAATGTCTAACAGCTCAGTAAGGCCAGCCATTCTACCTTCATCACTGTCGCATTATCGTCACATCAGCCTCCATGTCTCAGGCATTGCATGTTTCTAGACTTCGGTTTAATTTCATGCATTGCCAATCACTTGCTGTGCGATTATGATCACGTCACTTTCTTTCTCTCTGGGCCTAATATTTTTTAACTTATAAAATCAACACAATAGTAAAATCCGTTTTATGGTGTTGATAGTTTAAAAATAAATGTTAAAAACTTAGCAAAGTGCTTAGGACAATGAATGTTCACTATATGATGCCTATCATTATTAGATTATAAAATGAAAATTTAGGTTATATTTAGCATGATCAAATATTTTAAAAATGTAAACAGTATGTATTTGTGCTTAGGGAAGGAGCTCTGGAAATAAACCATAAATATCTACTGACAAAGGATATTTTCTTTCCTTTTGCTTACTAGTCCATAGTGAACTTATACACACACACACACACACACACACACACACACACACATATATATATATATATATAAATTTGGAGGAGAATGTCTTAATTGGTTAACTCTAAGTAATCTGGATTATATTTACGTACTCAGACAAAGAAAAGAGAGAAGGAATTGTGCAGGGACCAGAGGGAGCATGGAGGTAGAAGACAACAAATTGTAAAAAGCAAAACTTCCTTGCTGGATGGAAGGTGGTGAAGAACTGGAAGACTGTCTTTTTTTTTTTTTTTTTTTTTTTTTTTTTTGAGATGGAGTTTCGCTCTTGTTACCCAGGCTGGAGTGCAATGGCGCGATCTCGGCTCACCGCAACCTCCGCCTCCTGGGTTCAGACAATTCTCCTGCCTCAGCCTCCTGAGTAGCTGGAACTACAGGCATGTACCACCATGCCCAGCTATTTTTTTTTTTTTTTTGTATTTTTAATAGAGACAGGGTTTCGTCATGTTGAGACCAGGACGGTCTCGATCTATTGACCTCGTGATCCACCAGCCTCGGCCTCCCAAAGTGCTGGATTACAGTCATGACAGACTGTCTTCTTATTTCCAGAGCTATGGAACTGCTTTAAAAAATGCTCAACATCTTGTATTAGTAGATGTATATTTCTCCAAACTTCAATCAGTATTTTATACAGTTTTCTTTCTTTTTAGAATTTTTTTGTTCTTTCCGGTGAATTGCTAATTAGTATCCCATGGAATCACTATAAAATGGGTGCTGATGAATATCTGTTTGGTAGATTTTACCAAATCACTGGGAGCATAAATTTTAAAAAGAGACAGCAGGGATCTATCCACAATACCCTTTGGAAAGACTCTTCTCCAAAAGGGGAACTGTGGCAATCACATAATCATTTTGGATAAGACAAGAAACATGTCCAATATATTAGCCTAACTAAATGGACTTAGAACCATTTAAAAACACAGATAAAAATATTTACAAATATATATTTTTATTTCCTGCTTTATCTTTCTTTTAAGAAAAAGCTTGATTTCTGAAATCGGAGCTTGATTTAAACCTAGACTTTTCCATTATTAGCCATGTGATCTTGACCAAATAATTTAGCTTCTGATTGTTCTCATTATAAAATAGTGATAAGTATAGTCTGCCTCATAAGGCTGCTGAGAAAATAAAAGAGTAAATGAATGTAAAACATTTAGCACCTTGTCTGGTCCATGGAATGATTTCAAGAAATATTGGTCATTGTTAATTACAAGGGTGAAAGTGGAAGGTGCACAGAATCTTTCCTAGATTCCAATTTTTTAGCTCTATCTTGTGAGAAGACTAGAAATGCCAACTTTGAAAAAATTACATTGTACAGATATTGTGCTTAAAACCACCGGGGAGAAGAAAGAATGGTGGCCTCTCCGTATTTCTCTCACCATGGAAACCAACCCTGGAAATCCAGATGCACATTTTCTGATTTGGCTCCAAGAAAATAGCCCTTAATATGGAAACCCAGGAAACCTGGGGAATAAACTCATCAGAGCAGCAGGCTTGGATATGCTTTTTTATCATTTGAGTACCATAGGTTTTAGGCAGAAAATAGGCTGAATTATATGTGTCCATTATTTTAGAAGTGACAAAAGAGATTTATTCCCCCCACTGGTAATTGGAAGTCACGAAATTTGCAGTTGTTCAAATATCATAGAAAGTAAGGCTCATTTTTTTTTCTCATAGACGATTTCTGTTGAAAAGTGAGGTGGCTCTGCATGCAGGGGGTTCTCTTTTCCTCTCTCTTAGTTACAAAGGGGAAGATAATGAAATATTAAAAGAAAATAGCATTGCTTTTATCCTTGATTTCATGTTGAAATATTTTGCTTTTGAATTACTGTGATCATATCTAGCTGATAGAATTCATTCCACCCCTGACTTAATCCCAACAGTTTAAACAGCAACATCACCTACTTTAAGCATCTTAACTAATTAGGGTAAAGCACAAGTAGTTTTTAGTCTTCTATCATCTGCCAGCAACTGTGTAGTGTCTAACTTCCTGCTTTTGCTGGGTAGGGAGCTCGCCTAAAGATAGCTCAGTCTATTGTCTAATAAGTTTTAGTCCCATTTGCTTATTACATTTACTTTAGATGCTTTACAATTCAGTTCTGTGAATTTTAAAATAATTCTCCACTTTGCAAGGCTTAGGCAGCAGTGTCACCTGAGGTCAGGAGTTCAAGACAGCCTGGTCAACCTGGTGAAACCCCTTCTTTACTAAAAATACAAAAAATAGGTAGGCATGGTGGCGGGTGCCTGTAATCCCAGCTACTTGGGAGGCTGAGGCAGGAGGATCACTGGAACCCAGGAGGTGGAGGTTGCAGTGAGCCAAGATCATGCCATTGCACTCACAAAGGAACTATTCTCATATCTGATTCAAAGCTGCTTCACCCACCCTGCTGGGCTGGCTGCAGCCACTGTAGTATGGAGGTGGAGGACTTATCTGGCTTTCACACAGGTCCTTCTACCTTTTCCTAGAAAGCACTATTTGTTTTAGGACATGGAAGAAGGGTAGCAGAGGCAGATGGGTCCTAACACACGTGTTACCCTGCTGCAGAGTAATCTCTCTTTAGGGGTCTATGGCGGAAGTTGTGAATCTCAGCTACATGGTAGAACTACCCTAACAGCTTTAAACCACCCTATCCCTAGACTCCACTCTCGGTGATTCCGGTATGTTGAGCTCTATTAGGACCTGCGGTGCTTTCAGGAAGTCACACTGACAGGAGCCTCCCTCCCTTCCAGGCTATACTTTTGGAGGGGCCCTTGTGAAACTGGATCACAGCCTGTAGCTAATCCACCTCCCTCTCCCCAACACAGTCAAATTCACTGCATACCTGTCTCCTGCTGTTATGATCCCCAGCAAGACTAGCCCCCAAACTCATCAACCTTCCATGGCCAACCGGGCTGTGTTAACTCCAGGACCAGTCAGCAAGTCCAGTAACTACACAGATATCTAACCAAAAATGAAATTCCAGGCACCTCTCCTTGCAGTCACTCTAAGAATTTACAGACAATTCTCTTGGGATTTGACTCACATGCCTTAGGAACAACCACAGGGAGAAGGGAGGGAGAACTCCCTCTTTCTGAATACTGTGTGACCCCTAAAGGGCACTAGCTCTCTCTTTACATTTTTGGGGCTGGATGGGAGGTAAAAGTAGTTCTGGTGTCTATATAGAGATGGCTGCTCCCAACAGGTGAAAGAGTTTGTCGTTGATTTGTTACCACAACTAAACATGAAACCAACTGACAATTTTGCATCTGACTCTATCTTTTTGGTCACCCCTTAGTAAATGCTGAATAGTCAAGGCAAAAACGAGTTCCTCACCTCACTACAAACAAGATAATGCAAACACATTTAAACTTTTGAAGGCAGAATTTCCTCATCTTTATTTTTAAAAATAATTTATTTAATTTTAGAGAGAGTCTCATTCTGTCACCCAGGCTGGAGTACGGTGGCATGATCATAGCTCACTGCAGCCTCCAACTCCTGGACTCACAATCCTCCTGCCTTCGCTTCCAAAGCAGCCGGGACCACAGATGGATGCCACCATGCCCAGCTCCATAATTTCTTAATCTTTAAAAAGGAGAACTCGTGGAATTGTTATGGAGCTACAACTAAACCTAAAATTATAGCTGGGAATGCATTTTGTAAAATTTATAGCTCTATTCATGTAATGTAGTATTATGTAAATAATGGTTAAAATAACACTTCGTCACTTACTACCATTCTACTTATTACTGTTTCCTACTTCCTTGTTTGGTTCTTTTAAAAAAAAAATCTGCTTCCACTAGAATGTAAGCTCCAGGATCTGAAGACCTTGTCTGCGTTGCTTTCTACAGAGTCACCAGCATCTGAAAGAGTGCTAAGCACACAGACAGTAGGTATTTATTGAATTAATTAATATTTTTGTTAGGAAGTGGGTATAAATGGTCATGAAATAAGTTTTCAAAATGTAATCAATGGTCCTCTTTTATCAAAATCATCTTGGGTGCTTGCTAGTGGAGAAGACCCATGAAATCAGAAGCTCCATAGGCAAAGTCAGAGAGGAACTTATCAGTTCCAGGTGCAAGTCTCCACAGATGATTCCACCTGTAACAAATGTTATTTACAGAAAAAACAAAAGCCAATTATGAAACCCATACCCATGTAAGGCTTGGTGCCAGCCATGGTGGTAATCTGCATCTCCCTGGGCAGCATGGCAGCAATGTTGAAATCTGTGATGTGCACATGCCCTGCAGGGAGAGAAGAAACACACAGAGAGTTAAGTCCCATTCAACCCAGTGGCACAACCATGCTTCTACCTGAAAGCACCCAATTAGTCTGTTAATTCCTGCAGGTTAGTTGCAGTTGGGTCCAGGCAATAAAAGCTCAATGGTTCCACCCTCAAGGCCAATATGGTCTTAAGCCAGCAATCCTCCATTATATAATATGCAATGATCAGTCTCTGATTGTAAACCCGTAGTTCAGCCTCAGAAAGTTTTACCCTTAGTAGTTAAGAATTTGTGGTTGGGTTATTCTAGTTAGGCAGTTTTTGTCTGTTGGTAACATTTTAAGTTAGTTTAGCCTGTGAATACCATGAAGGAGATAGCCAAGGGATACTCAAAGTATCACATTTCCAAACATCTATTATGTAATTTTTTTTTTTTTTTAAAGAGGCCAATAGGCAAGGCGTGGTGGCTCACACCTGTAATCCTAGCACTCTGGGTTGAGGCAGGTGGATCACTTGAGGTCTGGAGTTTAAGACCAGCCTAGCCAAAATGGTGAAATCCTGTCTCTACTAAAAATAATAATAAACAAAAATTAGCTGAGTGTGGTGTGGGTGCCTGTTATTCCAGCTACTCGGGAGGTTGAGGCAGGAGAATCACTTGAACCTGGGAGGGAGAGGTTACAGTGAGCCAAGATCATGCCACTGCACTCCAGGCTGGACAGCAGAGTGAGATTCCAATTAAAAAAAAGAAAAGAGGGCCAGGCGCAGTGGCTCAAGCCTGTAATCCCAGCACTTTAAGAGGCCGAGGCGGGTGGATCATGAGGTCAAGAGATCGAGACCATCCTGGTCAACATGGTGAAACCCCGTCTCTACTAAAAATACAAAACATTAGCTGAGCATGGTGGCATGTGCCTATAATCCCAGCTACTCAGGAGGCTGAGGCAGGAGAATTGCCTGAACCCAGGAGGCAGAGGTTGCAGTGAGCCAAGATCGCGCCATTGCACTCCAGCCTGGGTAACAAGAGTGAAACTCTGCCTCAAAAAAAAAAAAAAAAAAAGAGGCAAATATTATTACTACAAAGCTGGCATGAATGTGGATACGAATATTTATTTCCTAGCCAAGAAAGCCTCCCTTTTCTCCAAGTTTTTCTAAAATATTTTTGGATACATTTTTTGTCTGATAGTTTAGGTTGTCTGATCAGTCCCCAATGAAGTAGCTGTTATCCAGGGACAGTGGGGGTGAGGGGAGGGAAATCAACTTTATTTTTTTATTTTATTTTATTTTTTCAGGGAGTTTTGCTCTGTCGCCAGGCTAGAGTACAAAGGCACGATCTTGGCTCACTGCAACCTATACTTCCGAGGTTCAAGCAATTCTTCTGCCTCAGCCTCCTGAGTAGCTGGGATTACAGGTGCACACCACCACTCCTGGCTAATTTTTGTATTTTTAGTAGAGATGGGGTTTCACCATATCAGCCAGGATAATCTCAATCTTCTGACCTCGTGATCACTTTGGAAGACCTCAGCCTTCCAAAGTGCTGGGATTACAGGTGTGAGCCACCACACCCAGCCAATCAACTTCATTTTTAAAGAGACTCTCTAAAGAGCACTAGATGGGGAGCCAGGAGGCCTGGGTTCTGCCTTGAACTCTGCCCCTAACACACAGTAGACTTTAAGTCCTTTTCCAAGGCGGATCTAAATTATCCTTTACATAAAAAAAGAATGGGTAGACTAAATGATCTCTAGGGGTTCTCTCAGCTTTAACACTCAAAGCAATAGAGAGTGGGTCTAACATTTATATTTGGCAGGGAGCACTGTCTATGAGGTGCTCTAGGGTCCCTGCGTTTACAGCCAGAGGGAACAAAAGGGCAGTGCCAGAAGCTCCAGCAGACAGGCCTATTATGTTAGCTGTTGGCACGACAATCATCTGCTTTGAGAGAATCTTGAAGTGTTGGCATTTCCATTTACATGTGTCTGTGGTTTTGATGAGATACAGCTGTAATTGGAGAGCATGTCATCAGCCCACAGTCCACACTCCCCATATCAATCTTAATTGTCTGTTCCCTGATAGTATCCAGCCTGCTGCTAAAGATAAATCCCACTGCCTTTATCATCAGGGTTTTATTCTGTGCAGACAGTGTTTGTTTTTATTCATGTGTTGATATTTCTGTAAAGTAAAGGGAGCACTCACCTAGTTAAAAGGTATTCTTGCCAGAGTGGCACCAATGCCTGATTTCAGTAACTCACCCTATCATAGCATAGGTTGTCTCCATTTTTTCTTTTTCTTTTCTCCCCATGGGTCCTGCTCAGACTGTTGGACCAGTGATTCACAAAGTTTAATACAAATCAGGTGAGTCTGGAGACTGTGGTGAATAGCCTGTTTCTTGGAGTCAGACTGCCTGGCTTCAAGTCTAGGTTCTACCATAACTAGCTGTGTTACCTTGAGAAAGTCACTTATCCCACTCTGTGAAGTTGGATAGGTAATCAGTCTTCTCAAGAGGATATCAGAAAGGTTAAATGAAATAATGGTTACAGGAGACTTAGCACAGCGTTTGGCAAGAAGCGTTTAATTGTTGAGATCTGTCATTATCAGAAACTTCAGTGTAGTTTTGCAAAATACATGTGCCTGGGCTTCAGTCTCCTGAAACTCCAGTGGGACTTGTAGGAGAGCCAGGCATTTGTATTAAAAACAATAAATTCCACAGGTGATTCAGATGAGCAGCCAGACATGCAACAGTCTACTTCAGTCTGCAGAGATTTTCCAAGCTGACTCAGCTACAAGATTATCTATGCTCATGTAGAAGTGGGAGAAATGGAAGGTAGAGAAGGCTTTAGAGCCAGCTGATTCCTACAATGTAGCCCCCAGACCAACAGTATCATCATCACCTGGGTACTTGTTAGATAGGCAAATTCTTCCCCCCCCCAACCCCTCCCTGCCACTCAGCTCTATTATACTAAATCAGAAACTCCGGGGCTTGGGCCCCAGTGTTTAAATAAGCCCTACAGAGGCCCAATAAAGTTTGAGATTACAGTTTTGAAAGAGGGCCTAGCTTAGCAGAACGTCTCAACTCTGGTAAGTACTCATTACATGTCAGTTGAAAGAATGTTGAATATTTACCTTTTCCGTGTTGTTTACACTTGTGTGATTAATTCAGTTTTCAAAATGTTGTCGCACAGAAGTTCTTCTTTAGCCCAGTAAGGTAGGCCCTGTTTTATATATGAGTCATTTATGGCTAAGTTCAAAAGACTCAAAAGTTACAGAGCTGGAGTTAAGACCTAGAATTTTGTCTAGGATCCCTTTGTTGAGCTATGAATCTCCCAAAAACTTTGTGTGCTGTATCACAAGACCAAAGAACTGAATAACCTAAAACAATTACTTTCTGATTAGCTGAGAGTTCTTTTCCACTGCCAGGATGCCTAGTAAAGAACAGGGAGAAATTACTTGAGGGTAGTGTTCTACTGGATCGTCTAGCCTGGTGCTTTTGAGCTAAACAATGACAGCAGAACTTCACAGAGGGCTGGCCCTAAGCCTCAGTTCCAGGTCCAGCTGCAGCTGTGCCTTGCTTCTGCTTATCATGGTGACCTATCTGCCAGGTTGCCTTCTGTGTTTTGAAAATGAATTTGAGTGCTGCATCACAGGAGAGGTTTCAGCCTGCTGCTGATTGAAGGACAAAGAAATGGCCTTGGGAAGGAAGGACTTCTCTAGCTTCTTTCGTAAGCCCAGGCCTTGAGTGAGCCTTACAGCAGAGTTTCTCAACTTCGGCACTGTTGAAATCTTGGGCCTGATAATTCTTTGCAGTGACAACGGTCCTGTGCATTGTAGAATGTATGCTAGCATCCCGGCCTCTACCTGCTAGCTGCTGGTAGCACCTCCCAACCCTGGCTGGAATCTTGATCATCAAAAATGTCTCCAGACATTACCAAATGTCCTCTTCAGGGGAAGCAATAGAGCAAAATCACACCCACTTGAGAATCATTGCCTTGATGAAGAGTTTTTCAGGTGCAAGCTTCACGACTTCCTAATTTACCATCCTAGGAGAGGGTTTCTGTCTTTTCTTTTTACCTCTGTTGCTTGGGACGGAGGATCACATAAAAAATTGGAATTCATCTTATGATGTCATTGAATTCAGCCATCACTGTTGTCATTTACACTCTTTCTTACTGCTCCTGTTCACAGCCTGAGGATCTCTGTTTTCAACATAGTACTCCATGGCACTGTAAAAGCTGGCTTTGCTCCCAACTTTTAAGTGTCTCCTACTTGTAGGTATTTAGAATATTTGCCCCACATTTTTCTGAGATTCCTGCTAAAAATGCATACCCCTAGGAACTACCTAGGGAGTGATTATCTGGAGATAAGTTACAGTATTCTACACTGTATGTCGTTTTAAAAGGGCACTGTCCACTTGATATTTTGGCACATTTTGAAACACTGCAACGGGAAGACAGTTAAGATTGTAGCCTCAGTTCTTGCTCGCCTCCTAGACTGAATTTTTGCCTCTATTCCTTGTGACTGGATGGTATTAAGAAACCTAAGTGACAGACGATGACATAATTATCATTTTGTCTGATATGTCGGGCAGACATTACTGTTCCTGTAATTGTAGCATTTCCTGATTAAGAAAAATACAAGAATTTAGACACTATGGAATTGATAGAATTGGATGGGGTATTTAAATTGGTAGGAAATGAAAATATGCATTAGGACAGTTGGTCAGGTGTCATCCAAGACCTAATGCTATCTTGGCTCTAAACTAGTAAATGGGACATTTGTGAGAACAGTATGGATGTGCTCTAGGTTAAAAACACATTTTTTTAAGGCAAATTCTGATGTACAAGGAATGTTTATTCACAGTGGATTTCCCATTTTACAATCAGCTCCTTTAAATGTCAGTCTTTTCAGATAAATATTAAGAATATGAATCGGCCGGGCACGGTGGCTCAAGCCTGTAATCCCAGCACTTTGGGAGGCCGAGGCGGGTGGAGCACGAGGTCAAGAGATCAAGACCATCCTGGTCAGCAAGGTGAAACCTCGTCTCTACTAAAAATACAAAAAAAAAGTTAGCTGGGCATGGTGGTGCGTGCCTGTAATCCCAGCTACTCAGGAGGCTGAGACAGGAGAATTGCCCGAACCCAGGAGGCGGAGGTTGCGGTGAGCCGAGATCGCGCCATTGCACTCCAGCCTGGGTAACAAGAGCGAAACTTCGCCTCAAAAAAAAAAAAAAAAAAAAAAAAAAAAAAAAAAAAAAAAGAATATGAATCAAGAATAAAACAGTTTCTGCCTGTTATTGAATGGTGCTGCATTAAAATGTAAGCAACAGGCCAGGCGCGGTGGCTTAAGCCTGTAATCCCAGCACTTTGGGAGGCCGAGGCGGGTGGATCACGAGGTCGAGAGATCAGGACCATCCTGGTCAACATGGTGAAACCCCGTCTCTACTAAAAATACAAAAAAATTAGCTGGGCATGGTGGCGCGTGCCTGTAATCCCAGCTACTCAGGAGGCTGAGGCAGGAGAATTGCTTGAACCCAGGAGGCGGAGGTTGCTGTGAGCCGAGATCGCACCATTGCACTCCAGCCTGGGTAACAAGAGCGAAACTCCGTCTCCAAAAAAAAAAAAAAATATAAGCAACAAGGTGTGATACACAGCTCACTTGTAGGGATGGGCATAGGAGGCACCAGAGAGATAGGGGTTTACCCTTCACAGTGGCTAAAATTTCCACACAAGGCCCATGTGACAGTCCATCAGGGATGAAATATTATAAATGAAGATAGAGAAGACAAATGAGGTCTTCCAATATGAGCTCCACGTGGAAAATCACACCAGTAGACACTCTGAAAGGCAGGCATTGATTTGTGGTCCAGCTGATTCTCATAAGATCAGCTCTATGTAGTGAACTGGGGGAAGCTGAACAACTGGACTTTATTCATTGAAAAGTGGTTAGTTATGTTCTTGAGTAAGGTTTGAGAGTCCTACTTTTTCAGAATCTGAACAAACAGAAAGTAAATAACTTCAAAAAATATATTTTCTCCAGAAAGAGATCTCTAAGACAATGTTTAGAAAATGGCTCAGTGTTTTTTGTTTGCTCGCTTCTGTACCATTCATACACAATCTTTCCCAAAGCAATTGATTTTCAAATTGAGTTCAGTATAGGAATATAATATAGAAAAGCTGCTTCTTAATTCACTGACCAAATTTAAAAAAGAAAAAAACCTTGAAAATGAAAGCAGTCACTGTAAATAAGATAGCAGAAAACAAGGGCAGACTGAGACTATCTCTCCGGTACATTAGAATGATGGCTTGTACAGAGCCCCAGCTCCACCCAGAATAAAATGCCATGACTGTGCCCTCACCCCCTGCACCCATGAAAGACAGCAGAATGTACCCCGGAAAGTGTAGCTACCTGAGGAAGAAGGGATAAACAAAATAGTTTAAACACAAGATCTAACAAGTAGACAAGCAGAATATTTGTTACATCACTTCTGAAATCAAAATAATTATTTGGGAAAGACAGCTTTTAAGGATTCTGGTAGAGATTTGGTAAACATAAGTTATGTGTCAGCAGAGACAAAGCCACATAGAAGCAGTCTCAGCTTCCTTTCCAAGGAAAGAAAGCCATGACTACCTCATAAGAATTGTACTAATAATAGACTTTTATTTAGTGACAGTTCTTTGCATCAAGTACTTTACACATATTAGGTCAGTCTTTACAATGACCCTAAGATGTAAGTATTCTTTTGATCCCTGAAAACTAAGACAAAGTTTAGGCAACTGCCAAAGCTTTCAGAGCTAGTAAATGAGTGAAGTGTGTTTTGAATGAAGGCAATCTGACTCCAGAATTCCCATTCTTAACCACACTATTACATAATTAATCTTTCGCAAGGGTAGTCTCTAAGGGTGGTTAAACTTCAAGATTAATTGATTGCTTCATCTTTTTCTTCATCTGCAATCACTAAGCTGCCAAGAAAATGAGGAGGGGGAAGAAGTTGACTGAAGGAGAACAGGATGCCTTCATGATAGAAATGAGATGAAGCCATAGATGAGGCCTGGGATGAAAACACTGTTCTCTGAATGGGGGATAAAGCTTGAAAAGTGTTGGATTGATAGGATCTCTATGCCTCCATTCAGGGCCTCTATAAATGGTGAAGCAGCAGAAATCATGCACAAAGGCACCCAACTGAGGGAGCAAGTGAGGTCAAAACCCCAACCTGGTTTCTCCTTGGTGGGCCATGTGCTGCCAGGAAGCTGTGGTGGACAGAGGGAGCACTTTCCCTAAGTTGCACAAAGGTGACCTCTATATGCTAGAAGAGAAGCTAGTGGTAATTGTTCTTTCCCCCAACAAAAGACAGGGTCTCTCTATGCTGCCCAGGCTGGATTCAAACTCCTGCGCTCCTAGGATCCTCCTGCCTCAGCCTCCCAAGTAGCTGGTACTACAGGTGCCTGCCACTGCCCAGCTCTGGATAACTGGTATTTAAAAGTCACCTTCATGTTAAGTCTCACCATTGCTCACATTTCTGAGAATCAGAGACTCTGTTTTCAAATGTCAGAAGCAGTAAAGATAAGGAAGAAATAAGGCATCGGAAGAAAGTGGAAAAAATCTTTTTGGACAGTCCATAAATAAGTAATGACACTGAGCTTTGAAATTAGAGGTCATATACCAATGTTTCTTAGCCCCGTGAGCACAGGTGGGATCAGGCAAATCAGGCTCAAAACTAGGTAAATAAATAATGAGCAATAGATGGTACTTGGAGTTTCAGTTCCACTTGCAAATCTTTGTAAAAACTGAATAAGGAGCTTTTAAGATTTAGGACTCTCCTAATTTAGCAGCCTTCTAAAGACATAACAAAGATCATATTGACACTGTTAACATTTATATCATACATGCTGTGTGCCTTACAGGTCTTACCTGATGTCCCAATGAATCCAAATTTACATGAAAATAAATATTAGGAAGAAATTATACACATTTAATCACTGCGGGCAAAAGCTTATTCTAGAGGACATAGTTAATCAGTAGTTCTTGAAATTCAGCATTCACTTATCACCATCTTGATTATTGTCATAACTCTATATCACAAATCTGGATAACACACTTTTATCCCTTTTATAATTTTCTTTAAATTAACTGATTTTTTTTTCAAACTGAATATTTTTTGAGATGAAGTTTTGCTCTTGTTGCCCAGGCTGGAGTGCAATGACACAGTCTCTGCTCACTGCAACCTCTGCCTCCCAAGAATCAGGCGATTCTCCTGCCTCAGCCTCCCAAGTAGTTGGGATTATAGGCACCTGCCACCACGCCCAGCTAACTTTTGTATTTTAGAGATGGGGTTGTACCATATTGGTCAGGCTGGTCTTGAATTCCTGACCTCAGGTGATCCACCTGCCTCGGCCTTCCAAAGTGCTGGGATTACAGGTGTGAACCACGGGGCCTGGACTCAAACTGAAATTTTTAAACAGAAAACTTGATATCTCTTCTGAGATATATTGGCATGTATATTGCCAGCATAGACAAAACCACATAAAAGAAGATGAAGCAGTTCCAGCTTTCTTTCCAAGGGAAGAAAGCCATGACCACCTCATAAAAATTGTACGAATATTAGACTTTTATTAAGTGATTTATTTGTGACAGTCACTGTATCAAGTACTTTACACATAATATGTTAGTCTTTACAATGACCCTAATATGTAAGTATTCTGTGATGTCAAATAAATGTAAAAACCAATTTACAAATGTAAAAGCAGTTTGCCTTTTATAAGAAGGAATACATAGAAATACATGCAATGAGAACAAAGTAATGTCACTAATGTCTAGGTAGATGCTATTGCTGGTCAAATGCTCTCATCTTGAGGCCTCTATATCATGGAAAAGATAGGTGATTGTGTGTTATATTAAGGCTGACACTAAAAAATTGTGATGGTTTTCTTGAAGAAATACAGTAGTGAAAGCAAATCGAGTAGAATATAACTTTCTCAGTTGGTAAATTCAATGTTACTTAAGGGTATATTGTTGTACTATATCCTGCCATAAGTAATAAAGTTCTCCCATATTGTCTAAGAGGAGTTTACACATAGAGCTCAACTGAATACAGGAAAATATCTTTTCCATGTGTAATGCTCCTCTGCTGGGAATAATCAACTTTTCTACGAGCATGTCATGTTGTTGATTGCAAACAAATAACTCACTTACCATGTTCATCAAGTAAAATATTGTCAGGCTTCATATCCCTAGAGAAGTAAAAAGAAAAAACAAAGTTGCTCATAATAAACAGAACTAAGGGGTAACGGCAAAATAGTGCTTAAGAAAGCTAACTAGAGTTGAAACAATGTACTAGCCCCTCAATACTGATCTTCTCATTCAATTGTCACAGTATTTTTATGAGATAGAAATCCCTAATTTCTAAATCAGAAAACCGAAGCTGAACTCAAGGTCACAGAGCTAGTAAGTGGAAGAACTGGGTTGTGAACCAGGGCCTCTCTCATTCAAAACCTCAGACTCTTGACTTCCTATAGCATATGGGATCTAAGCATGTAGATATTGGTCCGTCAGATCATATAAAGCATTTACATTGCCATGAAGTAGTGTTAGCAGTATTAAGCATCGTTTTCTTATGTAACTATGGAATTACACAGATGATATAAACTTAAAGACTATAAATGGGAAAAATATGATTGATAATGTAGTTATGTAACCACCCCATCTCACTTCATCTCCTCACATCCACACCTGCTCTTCCTTTGCCTGAATTAGAGTCCTCTCATCACTGCACTCAGACAACACAGATTCACCCTCAACCTCACAGCACAGATGCTACTTCCTGCAGGGAGCCTTCCTGATTTTTCAATTATGGGTCAAATCTCCCTGCCCGCATGTATTCAGACCACATGGGATGCTTCTTCCACCATAACATTTATCACACTTTATCATACACTTGGTTCTGTTTATTGATACAGGACTCGTTACTCATTAATGTTTTTAAGTAAAGAGTAAGCTGACAATCTGAGTCTGTCAAAGATTAAGATACCTTTCTTCTAGCAGCATGAAAGCCACTTGACTAGGATAAAAATGTGTTCCCCAAACCTGTTCTTCTTCCACCATAACATTTATCACACACTTGGTTCTGTTTATTGATATGGGACTTGTTACTCATTAGCATTTTTAAATAAAGAGTAAGCTGACCGTCTTGGTCTGTCACAGAGTAAGGTAACTTTATTCTAGCAGCATGAAAGCCGCTTGACTAGGCTGAAAATGTGTTCCCGAAACCTGCTTCAGAATTTCTTCCTTAATGGATTCTATGAATTTAGGCTGAAGGGCTTTAATGGTACATTAGGGAAAGGCAGTAAAAATCTGAGAGTGGAAAAGTGAGGGCTGTTATAAACCAAAATGAGATTCCTCGATTTAGAAGTGCTTCGTACCACAATATTCATGAAGGCTTTGAGAACTCTATCATTCTATCCTCCAAGTACTAACTGTCAAACTAGTCCCTTCATTGGAAGAAGGTGGGTTTTACACTCCCCTAGGCATTATTTTTACTTTACTGGTTTTTTTTCCTCAGTTATTTTAAAATAAAAATTGTGTGAATTTAAAGTGGACAACATGATACTTTGATATACATATACATAGTGACATGAGTACTACTGTCGAGCGAATTAATAATCCATCTACTCACATAGTTAGCTTTTTTTCTCTTTTGTGGTAAAAGCACCTTAAATCTACCCTTAACAAATTTCTAGTATATAGTACAATGTTTACTAACTATAGTTATCTTGCTGTACATCAGTGTGTGTAAGACTGGTCCAAATCTTTTCACTGACTATCCTAAGAATGATAATAATTAACTGTAGGTCTTATAACATTCTAAAAAAAAAATCCTGGCCATGCACAGCGGTGTGTACCTGTAGTCCCAGCCACTCAGGAGGTAGAGGAGGGAGGATCACCTGAGCCCAGGAGTTTGAGACTGCACTGCACTGTGACCGTGCCTCTGAATAGCCAGCCACTGCACTCCAGCCTGGGCAACGTAGTGAAATCCTGACACAAAAAATTTTTCTAATCTGCAAGTTTTCCAAGTGGATCATGAACTCCTTGATGTCCAGGGATGGTTTCCTGGTTAATATCATATTCTATCCCAGTGCCTGATGGTCAGCAAATGAAGAATTTAATGATACCCAGAGAAATTCCAGTGCACTTAGGAAGGCTGATCCCAGCAGTATATACAGAACCCTGTGTCACACCATCAAATACTCTCTGCAGCATAAAGCTAGAGATAAACCAGGTGTTGGGCTCTTTCTACCTCTTTCAGATCTGCATCCAATGAGCATCAAGTACTGTTTGCCAGGTGAGAATGAGGCCCAGAGGAGCCCTACCCAGGATGGATGAGAGTTGAGTGAGGCAAGACCAGTGTAAAATTTCTTGGCCTGAATTTATGAGGACTTACTGGGAGAAATTAATTGCTGTGGATTTGACATTTTATTAGCTTTCTTTTAAATCCCTAAGTACCATTTTTCTTGTTTATTGAATCTATACATCATTGTGTTCACTACTTTTCCCAGAAACTACTTTGAAATGTAATAATACAGAGATCAGAGAGGGCACAATCAGTTTAATGTGATAATTCTTACTTAAATCTGATATTTATTTATTCATCAGATATTTACCTACTTTGGTAGGCCACTGTGGTAAGATATGGAAAACATAAAGATAAATGACAGAGTTCCCTCAGGGATGGAGAGGATGAGAAAGCTTTGTAAAGAACCATGACACAGAATGGGAAAGGAGTATTTTTACCACATATTCAGAGAAAGAATATGAGAAAAATTTAAGAAAAATGTGTAAGTGAATTTGTAAAGATAAAAATAAGTTACCTAAGCTTAGGTTCTAACTACACATTTTCTTCAAAATATAATAGGGCCATATCTAATTCATTACAGGGTAAACTGCAGTATGTAAGGTTGTTTATTCACATACCAGGAGAGAGAATATGAAACCTAGCATGCGCTATCAAAATTCCTACTAGAGCAAGTTGAGATTTTTTTTTTTTTTTTTTTTTTTTTTTTTTTTTTTTTTTTTTTTGAGACGGAGTTTCGCTCTTGTTACCCAGGCTGGAGTGCAATGGCGCGATCGCGGCTCACCGCAACCTCCGCCTCCTGGGTTCAGGCAATTCTCCTGCCTCAGCCTCCTCAGTAGCTGGGATTACAGGCACGCGCCACCACGCCCAGCTAATTTTTTGTATTTTTAGTAGAGACGGGGTTTCACCATGTTGACCAGGATGGTCTCGATCTCTTGACCTCGTGATCCACCTGCCTCGGCCTCCCAAAGTGATGCGATTAGAGGCTTGAGCCACCGTGCCTGGCGAGATTTTTTTATTTTTAAATTGTAGCACCACTTCTTTACCTTTTCAGTCTTCTCAAGTAAAAGTGAGTGTGAAGTGACTCACAAAATGTTTTTTTTTTCATTGAAAGCAGTCTATAATATATTTTAACTTAGTGGCTAATAAATATGGTTATGCTTCAAAATCACCTGGGGAGATTTGAACAGTGTATATTCTCTTGTCAGGGGCATTTAAACCAGAGTGACTTCATCTTGAATGGGTGAGATAGGAATTTAGGAATCAGCAGGAGTGGTTTTGCAAGGTATGGGTCACAAAGACCCCACTGATAGAATAAGATGCAGTAAAGAAGCTGGCCAAAACCAAGATGGTGACAAAGGTGATCTCTGGTCATCCTCACTGCTCATTATACACTAATTATAACACATTAGCATGCTAAAAGACACACCCACCAGCACCATGACAGTTTACAAATGCCTTGGCAATGTCTGGAAGCTACCCTATATGGTCTAACCCTCAGTTCTGGGAATTCCCCATTCCTTTCCCAGAAAACTAATGAATAATCTACTCTGTGCTTAGCATATGATCAAAAAATAACCATAAAAGTAGCCAGCTAACAGCTTTTGGAGCTGCTCTGCCTATGGAGTTGCCAACCTTTTATTCCTTTACCTAAATAAACTTCTTCCCCTTTATCAGCTTGCTCTTGAATGCCTTCCTGCATGAAGTCAAGAACCCATGTGGCTTCCCACCCAGTTTTGAGGTGCACCCTGTGATACTCTGACCTAGCTTAGTCCTAAGGCATTAGACTCTCTGTTTAAGATGTGCTCAGGCATCTGTCTTAAACCAAACAGAATTCTCTAGGGCATTCTCGTGTGCAGTCATGTTCAGGAAGGCTGTCTAGGCATTGTCCAAATCCAAAAACATCCATCTCATTTTTAAATATGAACCTCTTAAAAGCTTATCTACGAATGAAAAGGTGTTGAAAAAGTGACACAATTTGTCAACAAATTCTTTGGTTAAAATATATGTGGAGGTCTTTTATGACCAACATATCTGTGTTAGTTTCTTCTCACATGCCTAATGAAAACATAACCCAAACTGGGTAATTTATAAAGAAAAAGAGGTTTAATGTACTCATCGTTCCACATGGTTGGGGAGGCCTCACAATCACGGTGGAAGATGAAGGAGGTGCAAAAGCACCTCTTACATGGCAGCTGCAAAAGAGCATGTGCAGGGGAACTGCCCATCATAAAACCATCAGATCTCACAAGGCTCACCCACTATCACGAGAACAGCATGGGAAAAGCCTACCCCCATCACTCCATTCTCCAGGTGCCTCCCATGACGTGTGGGGATTGTGGGAGCTACAATTCAAGATGAGATTAGGGTGGGGCACAGCCAAACCATGTTATTCTGCCCCTAGCCCCTCTCAAATCTCAGGTTCTCATATTTCAAAATAAATTATAACTTCCCAACAGTCCCCCAAAGTCTTAACTCATTTCAGCATTAACTCAAAAGTCCACAGTCCAATGTCTCATGTAAAATAAGGCAAGTCCCTTCTGCCTATATGCCTGTAGAATCAAAAGCAAGTTGGTTAGTTCCTAGATACAAAGGGGTTACAGGCATTGGGTAAATACACCCATTCCAAATGAGAGAAACTGGCTGAAACAAAGGGGCTATAGGCCCCATGCAAGTCTGAAATCCAGCAGGGCAGTATAATCTTAAAGCTCCAAAGAGATCTTATTTGACTCCATGTCTCACATCCAGTTCATGCTGATGTAGGAAGTGGGCTCTCACAACCTTGGGCAGCTCCACCACTGTGGCTTTGCAGGGTACAGCCCTGCTCCTGGTTGCTTTTGTTGGCTGGCGTCGAGTGTCTGCAGCTTTTCCAGGCACATGGTG